GGCGCTTTTGGGACAGATTCGTTGACACCGTGTGCCATCAAATTCGTGCGAACCTAGAATTCTATATGAAAGGTCCGAGAAATAGTCGTTCTACTTCTCTTGTGACGTATTACAGGCTGCCGAAGATCTCGTAGGATTGTCGGATACGAGCAAGAAGCAAACGAAAATCGTTACAATTCGGCATCTTGCAGTACAAGAAGAAGCGGGGTAGTAGCGAGGTAAGAGTTGTGTTCATACCCCTAGATAATTTTTGCATCACGTTGGAGTATGGACTTTCCTCGGGTAAAGTTTTCGCGACTGGAAGAAAGTTAATAGGGACAGGCGGAAGTTTTTTTCGGTAGTTCAGGTATTCTGCGCTGTATTTTGTGCTTTCCGTCGTTGTCACTGAAGGATGGGGGACTGCGGGCAGGGTGTAGCATCGGTATGAGAAATGGCGGTATCAAACGATCTTCACCCAATTTATTCCTTTCTTTCTCCAGTACGACCCCTTTCCCCCATGCTGCCCACCGTCTTCCTAATTTCCTAGTTTCAGTTTTGTCCCTAAAACTGCCGAGCGGGGGAGGCTGCTAAAACAACAACCACTTTCAATAATTTCAACCATCAGGTAGTACTTGTATAGAGCTCTGGGCGGCGCCTCCAACTGAAAGGGGAAGGGCGATGCCTTATAACACACATAAAACGGAAAAAACCGAAATTTTCTGCTATTAGGCTGTGGAGGACGCCTCTGATAGTGTATGAGTAAAGACAAACTGTACACTCACCTTTGAGTACGGTCCTCGCCATATGCGAGACGAATGGGTTCACAGCTTCACTAGTGTGCCACTTTTTTCGCCCAAAAAGTACACGGGAAGGGGGCTGAAGATGGTACCCGTCCTCAAAGTGCAGCAAGTTGCATCCTTACCAAGGTCCCGTAGCGAAACACCCAGTCAACGTTAGGGAGTAGCAGAACCGATAAGGCGCACTCAAGTAGCGCGTTTGGCTCGTTGAGCGTGTGGCTGGTCATACGGCACCGCGGGCGGAGTATGGAGACGGCAATTAGGTATAACTACCCTTCAACCCGTTTCTCATGCTTTTTTGACCCTAGAAAGAGGCATGCTACGGCATTCCATTCGCCTCGCAGCAGCGATCAGATCCACGAAAGTGAGTGCACAGTTTTTTCAAGCCTACGTGAGAGGGTAGAAAATAGCCGTGAAGGTGTAGTGGTCAGCCGACTAGCCCCGTAAGTGTGGGAACCAGGCTGGAGTCTTGGCTACAGTACTTTGCCTGTAACTGAGCACTCTTGTGATAATCTTTATTATGTTGTCTAGTCATCAAAAACTTCGCTATAACATGAATATAACACAGGAACAAAGACCTTTCTAAAACAACTTCAAACTGAACGGTGAAAACTCAACTGCGCGCTTGGAACTGGTGATTTGGTGGCGACAAGGGTGAAATGATGTCAAATGTACTTTAACCTTTTGACCCTTTGTGCCCGCGTTTTTGTATATTTTAGAAAAG